GGGGGGGCAGCCTGGTCAGGGGCTTGGCGCTGACGCCGCAGGGCCATGCCTTGGGGAGCCGGGCCTCTCCTTGGACACTTTCCAGGACCCGGCATTTTACTCACTGGTCTGGTGAACAATCAATTTGTTCTGCTCAAAAACATCCAGCAAATGATCTCCAAGTTATTCCCTCATTCGGGCTGGAGTCCTGGCACCTCTTGGTGGGCCTCATCGCTCTCTGACAGTGAACTCTTCCCAGAGGCAATAATCACAATGATCCTAGGTCATCAAAGAGTACCTTCCAAATGTAACGGCAAACTGAGGGTGGGATAGGGGCTTCTACGTTCTTTGTAACATGTGCCACTCCCAAGCCCCAAACAGAGTGACTATGCTCAGCAAATATTCAATGATGTAAAATAAAGTTATAATTCACTCATGTTATGCTATCCTGTTCCTTACAAATACTTGTCATTTGTAATAAACATAAAGTAAAACACCTACTGCTGGTGCTATATTTTAGAATCCAATCCCAGAAGCACTGACTTAGGTAGCAGCAGAGTCAAGAAGAGCGCTGGATTTGAAATCCATAGAACTTGAGCTCAAATCCAGTCTCAGACTTTACCAGCTGAGTGACCTTGGGCAAGTCAATTAGCCTGTATGGGTTGGTTTCTTTGTCTGCAAAATGGCAACTAACTGCCTCTCCTCTCCCCAGCACTGCTGTGAGGATAAAATGAAAGAATACAATAATCCCTTCCACACTTGAGGGATCAGGGGCACAGTGCCCCCGCAATCTGGAAAATCCATGTAAAATTTTTTGACCCACAGACAAAGTCTGAATATTTTCTTTTTCTTTCATGGGTGTTTACAATACCTTATTATAAGATTTGGGTTGATATTATACAATACCATACATATATTTTATGCATTTCTGAGTTTCTAAACCTTTTCTGTGTCATCTGCGGCTTCCACAAAACTGCCCCCAAATTCCCATTTAATTTCTTATGCCAACCGGTGAGATATTGAGACCACGAAAGTTGCAACGTGGAAGGGGTAACTGTATTTGTAAAATGCTTTGCAAACCTTAAGGCAGGAGGTGGGGAACCTTCGGCCTTGAGGTCACATGTGGCCCTCTAGGTCCTCAAGTGAGGCCCTTTGAGTGAATCCAAACATCACAGAACAAATCCCCTTAATAAAAAAAGCTTGGACTCAGTCAAAAGGCTGAACCCAAGCCTTAAGGCATCATGTAAATGTGGGCTATGGTGACAATAATGATTATCAAGCACCTACCAAGGTGGTTAAAAAAATTTTTTTTTAAAGCACAGAGACTTTTTTTTCCCAAGTTCTAAATTCTCTCTCTAAGCGCCTTCCACGTTTAAGACACAGAGGAAGGACACTCTTTTGAACAATACGAAGAATGTTCAAGTGCCAAGCTGCACCAAGATGGCACACGCTATACAGTCCCAAGCAAAAGCACCAGGCTGTTCTTTGTTAGTTGTTCTGGAAACCATAATTCGCATCTGGGCCACATTCAGCCTCCCATCCCCTGGGCGGGCTCCAGAAGTCCACATCAACAGTGGAAATCACGATCCTTAAACTAAGTCTATCAAAAAGACCTATTTGAACACTTGGATATGTTTAAGAAGTTGCTGGCTTCCCTGATGCTGGATTATCGATGTTCCTCCAAATTCCACTCTGAGCACAGTCACAATGCGAGGTAGCAGCCCATTTGTCAAACTGGGAAGACCAAGCTTTGCATGCTCATACATGTAGCACTTACATCTTCTTCTTGAGACGGATGAACTATTCCCACAAGCCTCTGGATGATTTTCTCCTCATTTAACCACTGTAAAACACATAACAGAAAGGTTATCACAATAATGAAGTACTCTTGGTCAAACCTCAAAAAAGAGAAATCTATTTGGACAACCTCACCCGTCAGATTTAAGTATATTCCATGTTTCTCTGACTTTGAATGACAGAAGACTTTTGAGAGTTCTCCAAAGCAAATGCCAGCAAACATAAGATCAGAAACAACAGTATGAAACAAGCCCAAGAATGCCCCAAATCCTAGTGCCAATTACCCAACAGTTACAACTTGGAATAACTCACAGGACCAGAATATAGGATTAAAATCCATCAGAAAGGCTAGTCAGAAATAACAAAAAGGGGAGAAGAACAGAGGGAGGAACGCATATACTTGCTTCGGGAACCTTCCGTAAGATTTGCTTTAGGACCTTCAGTAAGAACGAGCAAAATGGCATCATGTCTCAGGGTTAAATGGCTAAAGGAAAATACTTTTTGTAAAACTTTATAGTTAAAGAAAACTGAGCCTCATGATGGGTATTTTTAGAGATCTAATCCAAGAAAGGGTTAATGTAAAAAAAAAAAAAGTGGGAAGAAAGTTTGAGCATCATGGAGTTACGGAAGTCAGCCTGCCAGATCACCCACTTATCTTTGTTCAGGAAGTACTTCTCTGGTGGGAATGGGGAGCCTCAGAACCAGAGGGTCCAAGAAAACTGGAAGGGACTTTTGAAACCACTTCTTTTACCCTGATTTTACCCAAGAGGAAACTGAGCCTTTGCCTCTTTCTTTGATTATGATGAAATTGTCAGAATTTAGAATTTCTAAAATAAAGAAAAGCTGAGGGAATATAAATTGGGAGAAGAAAGGGAAAGGAGTAAAGGAGGGAGACAGCTGAGAAATGAAGAAAATATAGACTTAATAAGAACACTCAGTCTATTTAGGGAAAGCAAAGGTCTGTGCCACAGAGACATAAGGGAAAAGACAAAAGAAAGCTCAGTAAAAAGAATGTTCCCTAAGTAAAGGATACCAACGGTGGCATCCTGACTAGAATCAGGAAGCCCTGGGTTCCCTTGTGCTTCTGGACCACCTGGCTCTCACATGCTCTAAGCTGTGTTGGTAGAGAGAGAAGCCCTGTTAGATGCCTTTCCTAGACCTGTGAAATCACACTCGGGTCCCAAGCTAGCTCTGTTTTCTCAAAGAAGATGGGAAAGCAGGAGAAAACCAACAGCTGCAGTTGAACAAGAATAGCTAAGGGAGCTGCCGACAGGGGATGAGATGAGCGAGCTGGCCTGGCCGACTGGGAGGGCGGGTGGGCTGGGGAGAGCACCCGCTTGGTAGCTGGAGGGTTTGGGGTTAGCATCGGCATCATCAGGCCCCATATGGGGAACAAGGGAGCTCAGTCTTTATGGTTCCCTCGAGCTCTGAATTTTGTGATCCTAAAATATAAGCAGTGTATGTAACTAAGAAATCCCAAAGCCCTGTACCAACCTACAGAGCCAGCTGCAGTCGGCTATAAATGGAAAGGAGGGGGAAGAGAAAATAGGGTGAGACTTCTGTTCCTGAAGAGGAAAGTGTGAACCCAAACGATTAATAGACCGAATGCCACAAAAGCAAACGCTCAGGACTCCGCCACAAAGGTCTGAGCCCAGAACGGCCCAGCTGAAGAATGCCCACTGTCTTCCCCACGGCCTCTAGGCCAAAGAAGCTGCTCAGGTTGGGCATCGAAGGCTTTCTACCACATGGCTCCTGCAGGCCCTCACAGCTTGATACGACCCTTTCCTCATGTCTGTGCTAGGCAAACTGGAGCACTCGGTGATCCTAGATCTTGTGTCTTTGCCCGGAATGCACTCCATCCTCACCTCTGCCTGTACAACACTGGGCATGTCAATCAGACGTCTGAGCCCCCATCCCTCCCTCCTGCACAGGAGGCATTTGAACAGCTGGCCTCTACACCTATGATCCTGTGACTTTCAGCATCTGAGGCTCAGGAAGGCATCCCTGAACCAGCTGAAAACAATGGCGGGAGTGGAAATGCTTCCTGGATTCCCTCGGATCTCTTCAAGCACTCTCCCATGACGGTCCACAGCTTCTACCCAGTGAAACTCGGTTCTGTGAGGGAGGGCAGCGTCCTTTCGGAATCCCCAGAATGAGCCCCAGAGCTCTGCACACAGCGGGTGCTTAATGGAAGATTATGGAATGAATTAAGGAATGTTATTAGAGAGAAGGGTAACCCAACACGACAAGAAATTGGGAATGGGACATCAGGAAGACAACTGCCCAGCAACTCCGACCAAACACCTGGAGCAAGAGGCAGATCACCACTTTTCAGTGCGGTCAAGTCACTCTTCAGATTGCCATTCTGGGGCAGGATCCCCGGGACCTAACGAAACACATCCACCCTTCCTCCTTTTCACCATCTCCCTTCACCGTCTGGGAAACACCCAAAAGATAATGCCATCCGAACACCTCTCCCCAAAGCTGAAACAGTCTTTCCTTTCCTTACGATCAACCATCCAACACTCTTCCCAGAGAATTCTTGGCTCCAGGCTGCTTCTCAGAGTGGAAACCTCCCCGGGCCTCACAGAAACTTCCTCGTGTAGCACATGCCAACCCTCCACAGAGGTGCTTCCTCCAAGAAGCCCCCACTGCCAGCCCCTTCTCAGTAGGCGCAGCCCAGGCTTCCCACATATGCTGGCAGGGCCACCTCCCCAAAGACACTGGCCTCAGACCGCCACACTTCCACAGAACGTGCCCGACTGACCTTCAGGCACAACCTGACAGACCTCTCCCTCACGGGCCCGTCTGTATTTCCTTTGAGCTCTTCAGATCTTTAATTCAGATGACCACGTGCAATCCAAATTCATTTCCAAAGACATAGGGTTCCCACCAAGGAAAGTATCAGAGGTGCGATGATGAACTGGGAAATATTTCTGAAGGAAGGCAATGAAGGGAACGAAGAGAGACTAGACGAGATAGGCTGAGATGCAAAGGCCCAGACCAAGAGCTCCTGAAATCCCCTGTGACACCTGCCACTACCCAAGAAGTACATCCACCCCAAAGAAAGGCCTGCCCATCTGAAACAAAGTCTCCCACGGCCCTGTGCTCCAACGACCCGGCACCTGCTGCAGCACGTCTATAACCTGAGTGCAAGAAAGCTCTTCCTCTTCTCCCAGGAGAGGCATTCGCATTACCAGACAGCACTTAAAATGAGTTAACTCTTTCAAAAGCCTGCCAGAACATACTCCTACGAGAATCCTAAGTCCCTCCAGGCTGGGCCAGGCACCTAAGTCTGATGCAGAGATTCTAGCTCTCAAACATCCCGGGGACATCCAGGCTCTGAGACATCTGAACGTCTCCTCGTACCAGGGAGATCGTCATCCTCACCTGTGACTATGGCAAGGTCACTGTGACTGCTGCCTTCCCCCTACTACAACAGCTTTCAGGAAAGAAAGGTACACCTTAAACACCTGTATTACAAGCATAGAGCAGGCCTGGGCAGCCACTGAATCAGCAGCTGCTGCTGCTGCTTCCAGAGCTCTCAGCCCACAGCCAGTAAGGGGGTCAAACAACTGGTCAGAAGGAGATTAAAGGGGTCTCTTTGCTAGCACTGAGGCAGGACTCTGTTGCTTTGCCCACACTCAGATCTAGGTCACCAGCCCTGGGTGGCAATCCCAGGGTGAGGAGGAACACCAGCATGACAGAGCTTGCAGTCACAGTGGAGGGGGGACCCTCGTCACAGGTTCACTGATGGAATATTATTGTACTATAAGAAATGAAGAGAGCAGGATGCTCTCAGAAAAGCAGTGAGACTTACATGAGCTGATGCAAAGTGAAAGCAATATTGTAAGATGAACAGCCATAAATGACCTCGCTGTTCTCAGCAATACAATGATCCAAGACAACTCTGAAGGACTAACGATGAAAAATGCTGTCCATCCCCAGAGAAAGAACTGATGGTGTCTGAATACAGACTGAAGCAGACTTTTTTAATTTTATTTTTCTTGAGGGTTTTTTTGGGTATATGTTTTCTTTCAAAACATGACTATCATGAAAATGTTTTGCATGACTCCACATGTATAACCTCTATTAAACTGCTCGCCTTCTCAAAGGGGGGTGGGAGTGGGAAGGGAGAAAGAGAGAATTTGGAACGCAAAGTTTTAAAAACAAATGTTAGAAATTGTTTTTACATGTAACTGGGGGAAAATAAAATGCTAAGACTCCTTGGCAAAACAAAAAAAACAACACACAATGGTACTCACATTCAACACATCTTGCCTGGGCTGGGGAGGTTCAATACAAGTCAGTAGCCTGAGCAATAAATCCATGATAGCAGAAGTTCCTATGTGTTTTATGATGAGGTCTACGAAATCATGCTTCTTCTTTAAGAAATCCACAATCTGAGGGAAAGGAGAGAAAAACTGCTCCATTACTGATCCATTCTCAGGTCACGGTTAGGAACGACACGTCAGTTTTTCATCCCCAGTGCTAGGCTGCATTAAGATAAGCTGTCAGACACCCTGCCACAGCTTAAGGGCCTCCCTATTTGGAGTCCCCAGGCACACCTTAAGCACACACATCAGCACATCAACTTCTCCACTCTGCTGGTTTTATCCTGAGTCCACACGCAGGGTGAACAAGCCTAACGCTATAACTGGCCGATGCCAATTAGAATCAGATCCTGTCCCCTCTAGCTCTGCTAAGTCCACCTGACTCCCTAACCTACCCCACCCCCACACTCTCAACAGCTCCCTCCATCAGTGAAGTCCCCTTCACCAACACAGAACCTCAAGGCCATAAACCCCACTACAGGCAATCGACCATCTCGCCCTCTAGACACGAGGCCAGAACTAGCTGACCGCCACACGGGGGGATCCCCAGCTCCACCATTTAACAGGCCTCGTCCATGATTCATTCTGGAGGTCTGGCCTCACCCTAACGCCATATAATGTCAAGTATCACCTAAGGTCCTAGGTCGCACTTTCAGGCAATGCTTTTACCCTTGCCCTCATCACATACAGCTGGTGTCTCTTCTGTCTAGACCAGTGCCTCTTAAACTGTGGGTGACGATCCCATATGGGGCATATTTGGCAACAGTAAAATGTTTCTGAACGTGCAACGACCAAAACTTAATTAAAAATCAAATGCATAATGAATTCGAGGTGTTTCTGGCGGGCTTGCCCGCGTTGCATCTCACGACTTCACTGCAGCTTTGGTTCTGAACACAAAGCACGCACATTTTACACTGCGCATGCCTTCACACAACGCCGACAAACGCTGCTGAAATGTGAAAAGGGGTCACCAGGGGACAAAGTTTAAGAAGCCCCGCTCCAGACTACAGACTCCCAAAGCTCCACATCACAGGGGTTTGTCTGAAGAGGCTGCCAAATGTGGCTGCCCACTATGGGAGCCCAAGAGAAACAGCCCCAAGCAGGCGGGGGGGGGGGGGTGCTTTGGGGGAAAAAAAAAATCACCCCCCCTTCCTCCTCCTTTGAAGAACTGCTAGGAACAATCTAACGAGGAGGTGACAGCCAGAGGGCAAAACAGGAGCACCTTCTAACTTCTACCAAAGTGAGGCAAGTGAGGACAAATGAGCTGCCTTTTGAAGCATGCATCCTTGTGGGTTTAAATCACACGTGTTTACTAGAAATGGTCCTTAATTCCAATGACCTTTAGGAACATGACCTTGCTAAGCAAGGCCTGGAGAGGAGCCCACGGCGGAGTAGAAACATGTTCTCTGCACAAATGAGATCCGCACTTGGCCATTCTAGGCTAGAGTTTGAGGAGATGGAGGAGAAGACTGCGTCCTCCCTGTCTGCTGGCAGAAGCACAAGCACCTTCCCGTGCTGGGGCTGTGCTCCCAGAAAGGATGCCCTGGCATCTCTGTGCCCTCACCATCTGGCAGTATGATCTGTAGCAGGGCCTAAGGCATCGCTTCAGCGGACCTGTCTGCAGGCCTTCTTTGTACGAGACATCCCTGAAGAACAGGGCTCCCGTCATCGGCCAGAGTGCTAAAGAGCAAGACGCCAACAAATACCTGAGTTTTACTTCTAGTCTACATGATGCTATGATTGTTCTATACGTTAATGGCTTTCGAAGGTCCTACTTACACACAGTCCACCGTTCAGTATCCTCCATTATTCTGTGTCTCTCCACAATGAGAAATTATCCCTCAAATTTGCACACACCTTTCTCCACCCAAGATTCTAATACCTCCAGGTGGGGGTACACTTTATCAACCAATCAAAAGGTTTACGCTAATAACTTAAGTGAGAAGCTGTGAAGAAAATTCAAGTATAAATTATCAGGCGTTTCTAAAGATAAATATTTAAATTTTAATTAAAAACCCGGGCAGATTCAGAATACTCAAGCAAACAAGACAATTTGCTAGCAGTCACTTACCTTTGGGAAAAGATTATTTACCTGTTCTGGTTTTCGGCTAATGAGAATACTTAGCACCTTGCTGAAGAAACTGGCAAGTAAAGGGTTCAAAGGGGAATCGTTGAGGAGGAAGCTATACAGTTTCATTAGCAAAGATTCATCTTCTCCCAATCGATCGTTCATCTGAGAGACATCAGAAGTGAGCAATTCACAAGCTATATTTGGGTACCTAGAAGAACAGGACACTCCTCTCATCAGACAGTCACAGACCAGTATTACAGACAAGTACATGCCAAATAACAAAACTTAGAAAGCTTTCCTTAAAATGCCTGTAACTACTCAAACATCAGTTCAGAGTCCGAGAAAAAGTGAAGACACAGTATTTTCCCATCTACAGATGAAAATGGATAACAGAATGCAACAAAGATTCTATGCTGCCTTTTTTAAACATTGGAGAAAACACAGGGCACAACGCCAGCCAACCCCTCTGTACAAGGTGGGCTGTCTAACACGGGTCAAAGCTTCTGAGCCACAGGTTCAGTAACTCGCCATGAAATTCAGTGCTTCTCGTTTATGTGGCCAAATTGAGCCGCAGCCCGAGCCCGCGGCCTGCTGGCCGGCAGGCCGATGCCACAGGAGCTCCCAACATCTCTCAGAAGGCCTCTGGACCTGCTGCAGTGGCAAGGCCAGGCCATGGATTATGAGAAAAGGCCATAGCCAGGCCAACTGGTCACTCACACTCTACTCTAAGAATTCTTGGGGCCAGCTCCCACCGTTACACAGACTGGAAAGTCAGTGTCGTTTCTGCCTAGAGGAAGCTCTGGACCAGCCTCAAGTATTCAGTGACCATTAGATCCCAAATAAACCCAGAGTCAAAGGCTTTATCCTTTGTCTGTCTGCAGCTCCCAAACCTTAGTGGGCATTTGGTGGCTATGTGCTCGTACGTTTCCATCTCCAGAAGAAGTACAAAAGTGAATGGCCACCTCCTTGCAGAGTAATTGCTCACACTTGCACACACCATCTTATCATCCAGACATCAAATCTAAAACTAACAGTACAGACAGCATGGTCTCTACTTTGCAGGTGAGGAAACTGAGGTTCAGAAAGAGTAAGTAATGTGCTCAGAGAAACACCCCCAACACCCTCACATCCAAGGCCTTGTATCCTTTCTTGCACCCACAGACTCCCTGCCTACTTGATGAAGAACACGGCATAGAGAGAGAATGAGGCGCGTTCTCCAATCAGCCAAGATGGATCGACCAAAGGCCCGGAAGCAGCCGTGCTAGCTACTGAGTTAAGCACAGGGTAGACATCTGGGTAGCCTAGAGCCCAAGAACCCCATTCTAAACTGATAAGGTGGAGACAAAGTCTCTTTGTGCTGCTCACAACTCTCTGGTCATAGAAGGAGTTGTGTCAAGCCTGGGCAATCTCTTACCCCATGAAATGGGCAAATTCAAAGTTGCAATAATTTATTTGTAAAGTAGATAGGATTACTCGGGGGGGTGGGGGTAGAGAACCCCCCATTTGATCCCGCTTCTTTGACCAGGTCCACTGCCCATCTGGTACTGTAGGAATGGATCCCCCATTACCATGACTCTCTTGTTGAGTTCTCTCCCTTCCCCCAGCCTAAAGATCCTCTCTTTTTCTAACTGTGGTGCCTAAAAACCTAACTCTTCTCCCTTCTGCCTTTTCTCTAAGAATTTCATAGCTACTTACAGTTACAAGGAACCTTAGACCGTATCAAGCTCCTCATTTTACAAATGAGGCCACCAAGACCCAGAAAGAGTTAAGGAAGTAAACAGCCCAAGCTAACAGGTAGTCAAGGAACCAGGCTGCAACATCCTCACTGCCAGCTCGGTGCCACCAAGCCTACATACTGCAGTCTAAGAATTTTGTGAGTGTATGGAATGAATCAGGGTCTTACTTTTATAAACTCAGGACATTAGAAATCCTGAGAGATGGGTGAACCTGCCCAGCAGTGACGTAAGAACGTAGGTCTTCTCTTATCGAGGGGTCACAACTTCCCACAAAGGTTTTTCTTAGCACCTGGGGAACCAGGTGATGAAATCTCCCATATCAAATCAAATATGTGCAATTAACCCACACCCAGAAGTGCTCAGAAAGCATGGACTGCTCAAGATTTTGTTGGGCTATTTTTTGTTTTTGTTTTTAAGGGGGGGGGAAGTTTAAAAAGGGGGGGGGGAGAAATGGGAAGAAAGCAAGAAGGAAGAAGAAAGAAGAAAATAAATGCTTATGAATTGAAACAATTTTAAGATTATATGATGTGGCTCAGACTCATCTGTCTCTAAGCAGCGATCTATCCTTAAAATTCTCTTGTAAATAATTATCACGAACCTTAAAATTTAACCCCAATTTCACAGCCCCTTTAAGCCCACCCCACTGTCCAAGTTATTTTAATTGAAATCTAGGTTTTTATGGTTTCAGTCAGGTATACTTGGGGGTTTGCCCTTACCAACTCAAACTGCCCCCCAAAATCTGTCAGCAAGATAACCAGGTGTTTGAGAGGCCACCCTCGTCAAGGACACCAGGCCCCATGCAGACAGGAAGGCTCCACTCCACCCCTGGGGGAACGTCCCAGGATGCTCAAGCCCAAGAGCCTGCCATCCAGCCTGGAAAGGAGATTTTCCTAAAGTACTAGCTATGACTTTGCAGCTCCCTTGAATATGCTGTCTTGCTCCTGGACAAAGTGGTCTTAAACATCACTGGCATCAGTCTCAAATTAGGATTCTAAATCTTTAAAACAGGGCCAGGAATTGGCCTGCAGGAATGCTGCACAGCCACTCCCAGATCAGCACAACAATATTCTTTGTACAGATAAATTCTCGAGGACAATGTCGCTTCATCCTTCCTTCTCTTTCCACTCCAAAACGAAGATTATATTTTCTTACTTGTATCTGATTTTTTCATCCATATCTTGAGGTGGTTCTTCTATAATGAATGAGACTAAATCTTCAAGGCATTCTGCTTTTAACAGAAACTCAATAAGTTTGCGGTTCTGAGCTTTACATTCTTGCAAAACATCTTCCTCATCCATTAACTCCTTCAATGTTACATCTTCTCTCTCTAGAAGTGTGTCTATGTGGGATGATGAGTGAAGATCAAATTTCCAAAACATGCTGGTCTAAAGAAATGGAAAAATAGTTCACAAAATTAACTCCATATATTACAATTTTCCCACCTTTCACATAATCAGTTCAGGTTTATAATAAAAAAATCCCAAACTGCCATTATATATAAAATAAACTTTTATCCAGAGTTAAAACAATTAAGACTTTTAGTAGATAAATTTGATTTTTTCTTTAGACCCCCCTTCTCCCCCAAAATAGAAAGTCTTTATTTTTAAACTCTTTGAACTTAAAAAACATTTGAAGGTGGAATGAACCAAGCATGACCTGTTTTTATACACAAGCTCATGGCTATAAATAATAACAAGAAGAACATGGCACTGGCTGGTTCCAGTTGTGGCACATTTTCCCCTTGATACAGCAACCATACTGCTAGTTTAGGTAGGAGAATCAAAACAAGAATCTTTAAGTGCCTTGTTTACAGACATAATTGTTTACACGCAGGCCATGTTTTCTTCAAGTGTACCCTCAGCAATGACCATCGATAACAAGAGTTCACTAAGCTCAGGGCTAGGCACAGAGGGATAGAAGAGAAACACCACGAGGCCCCTGCCCTCAAGCACTCCCACTCTGCCCAAGAGATTTTGGAGTATTGTGGAATTTCTGAAAACAGTTCATTTTTGCCAATCAGAGAAACCACCAGGAAACCAATTTTGGCGATATTTTCAGTACTGTCTCTAAGTGGATATGAAGAAGTCATCTCTCCTCAATTTCTGAGGCAACTTGAGCAGCAAACCTAAAACCGGAGCCATTCCCCAGCCCCAAAACAGTCTTCATCAAATGAGCTCAGTGCTACAAAGTGGAGAAGGTTCTGTATCTACTGTAGACAACTTCAAATCACACACTAGAGTAAGACATCTTTATTTACTTCAAAATGAGCTCTATGAACCATCCTCACAAAGCAGCTTGCCTTAATGCCCTTGGAATCTCAATGATCCACTAAGGCCCCAAGAACTTTTAACAAAGGATCACAATCAGGAGAATGACAACTCAGCACCCCATCAAACCACATTAAGGACAGCATCTTCCATCGCTCCTTGGCACTAACAGCTGTAAGATGGTGCCTATTTCCCGGAATGAAGCTTTGGTAGAAAGTACTATCACTCTCAGCTGAAGACGTTCTTTCAGAGGCAATGGGACCACAAGCTGCTGGTCACTCACCAGGTCCACCTGATCCATTAGGTTCAACTGCCTTGTCAGGCTTCCCTGGTGCAACGCAAAGACAGCTGACCCAGCCACCAGGAATTGGGAGAGAACAAGCCAAGACCCAAACCTCCAATCCATTCAATAAAAGGGTCCGCGAGTCCCCATCTGGCTATAAGGCAGCTTCCTGGGACACCTGGCTGTCACAAGCCCGGCTTGGGAGCTCACACAGAGCTATGGCTCTCTGCTTGGAGGAGTGACCGAATAAAGAAGTAAAAGGGGGCAGAGTGAGAGAGGTTAAAGAAATGAAGTGGTGGGCCTTCTCCCCAGGCCCCAGGCAGCTTAGTGGCCCAGGGTTTGGAGGGTGGGGCCCACACTGAGCCCAGAGGTCCTCTCTCTTACAGGCTGCTTGGCCTGCCTTCTCCCCCAGGCCCCTGGCACCTCATTGCCCCACTCTCCTCCCCCACCCCCCCAATTGCAGGCTCCTTGAGGGGAGGAATTGTCTTTGTTTTTATTTCTATCCTTGCACAGAGCACAGTGCCTGGCATACAGTAGGCACTTAATAAATGTTTATTGACAAGTCATGCAGGAACTCTAGATCTCTAAGACAGCAACAGAAATTTCTTCAAAATTAAAAATACCTTTCCCAAAGCTTAGCCCACCAGTCCTTCCCAAACAGTGAATCACATACTTCAAACCACGATTTCTCATGAAACCAGTGCTACTGCACCTTCAATTTTTATTGATTTGTGCACCCAACTCAAAGCACTAAACACAAAAGCCAACTGCTGAACTAGGCTAACAGATCCAATTTTTAGGGCCCACTTATTCAGAAGTTGTGGCCCCCAACTTAGTCCCTCAAGTCCTCCGAGGTCTCCATGTAGTGTGGAAACAGCCCAAGGAGCAGCTGGGTGATAGAGTTCTGGGCCAAAAGTCAGGAAGAGCCGAGTTCAAACCCAGCCTTAGACACTTCCTAGCTGTGTGACCCTGGGCAAGTTACTCAAACTCTGTTTGCCTGTTTAATATCACCTCTACCTCCAGGGGCTGTCAGAATCAAACAACTGTGCAGCACTTAGCACAGCACCTGGCACATAGTAAGCATGTTATTCTTTCACAGGCACAGAGGGCAGGCCCAATGCCAGGATTAAAGGCCTTTCACAGTTCAGGAGAAGCTAGATGCCAACGCAGGAGCAGAAGGATGTGCATTTTGGCCATGGCAACTGTAGAAGCCAACCATCAAAGAAAAGTTTTTATTAATGCCTTGTTTTTCTGATAACTTCATAAAAATATCCATTCTTGACGTCAAGTTACTGACAAACTAGATTTTTAAATTGACTGTGATACCTGTAGATTAAAATGGCACATGGAGGCCATTTCCACACCGGGAAGGAGTTGCTAAAAAAGCTTTTTGTTGAGTTTTCAGATGAGCTTTTTCTTTTTACACAATAATATTGATCTGTTCCAGAAAAGTTGGCTACAAAACACAGCTTGTGATAAAGGAATCACTTTCACAAAGGGAAACGAACCCCAGGAAAGCTGTCTTCAAATGTGTCAAGAACTCCACTCTTCTCATCAGGATTCACTGACTTTTGAAACGCGCTGCTTAGAAACACAAAACTATTATTAATGAGATCCCAGTCCTCAGCTTAAATTTTCACTTCCAAAAATCTGGACCTCAGTCATCGAGGACTCCTCCAGTGGATCAGAATCCCCCAGGACACAGAGAACAGCAGTAACCTGCCCACGGTCCCACAGCCTGCATGCGCACCTGGTGGAGGGCAAATCCTGCCTCTCCGGATCCACAGGCTGGCCCTCCAGCTGCCGCTCGCTTGGTTTAACTCCTGGGAGCTTGAGTACTATTCACAGAGCTGGCTTTCACACATATACAGAGAAGATCTGCTAGCCTCAAGTTGGCAGGATTTCTATTTTCCCCACTGTGTTCTATTACAAAACGAGAACTTCTAGGCCTCATTACCAAGTGAGAGTGCCCCTCCAGCCTCATCAATGCGATCTACACATTGGCCGTGTGACTCTGAGCAAGTCACTGACCATCCAGCGGCCCAGGCAGCAACATCTAAGCCTCAATGGCAGTTGGAAGAAGGCATTTTATCCTTGCGAGAGCTAGGACCACGGTACTTCAAAATGTTTGGGAGATGGACCAGGAACCAGGAAGTGGTACTCAGGAGCAGGCCAACTTCAAACTGCCTCTGTCTCAGCTTCCAATTTTAGCATCATGGCAGGCCTAAACCTCTGACGCCGACTCCACTGACAGACATCCCCAAGCGCCATCCTTCCCGGGTGGCTCTCAAGGGGAAAAGAAGGATTAACCTGAAATGGCGAGTGCTACAGGAAGCAGGCCTTCACACACAACTAAGTGTTCTAAAAGAATTGAGAGGAAAGAAACCTCCAGAAGAGCAACACTTCCCCTGAATTCAGAAAGGGGCACTGAGTGACGAAACAGCCGAGCTCCTCCGTGGGCATGATCATCTGTGATTCCCCCAGAGCAAGCCGAGAAAGAGAAATACAACACTGACAAATTAAGGGCAAAGGAGCAGCTTTGGGGCTTCCTAAAGGTTTCCTACTTCTGGTCGAGTGAAGGCAACAAATCCCGTGGCCACAAATGTGAGCTGCTAGCCTCAGGTTTCTCCTCTGTAAAGCGAAGGGGGCCTGCACTTGACAGCTTCACGTCCTGTACTCCTCAACACCAGTCATCTCATGCTCCGAGGAAAAATGTTTTCTTCCCCAATTCAGATATGAACAGACAGGCAGGCAGGCAGACAGACAGGCAGGCAGGCAGGCAGAGAGACAGACAGGCAGGCAGGCAGGCAGACAGGCAGGCAGGCAGACAGACAGGCAGGCAGGCAGACAGACAGGCAGGCAGGCAGACAGACAGGCAGGCAGGCAGACAGGCAGGCAGGCAGGCAGGCAGGCAGGGAGGCAGGCAAACAGGTAGGGAGGCAGACAGGCAGACAGACAGACAGGCAGGCAGAGAGACAGACAGGCAGGCAGACAGACAGACAGGCAGGCAGACAGACAGGCAGGCAGGCAGAGACAGACAGGCAGGCAGGCAGGCAGGCAGGCAGGCAGACAGACAGGCAGGCAGACAGACAGGCAGGCAGGCAGGCAGACAGGCAGGCAGGCAGGCAGACAAACAGGTAGGGAGGCAGACAGGCAGAGAGACAGACAGGCAGGCAGACAGACAGGCAGACAGGCAGGCAGGCAGGCAGACAAACAGGTAGGGAGGCAGGCAGGCAGGCAGACAGGCAGGCAGGCAGACAGACAGGCAGGCAGAGAGACAGCCAGGCAGGCAGACAGACAGACAGACAGGCAGGCAGGCAGGCAGGCAGGCAGGCAGACAGGCAGGCAGAGAGACAAACTCACAGGCAGGCAGACAGACAAACAGGTAGGGAGGTAGACAGACAGGCAGGCAGACAGACAAACAGGTAGGGAGGCAGACAGACAGGCAGGCAGGCAGGCAGAGAGACAGGCAGGCAGGCAGACAGAAAGACAGGCAGGCTGATTTTTTAAAGAACTCTGAAGATAGCATGGACCAGAGGAAGGTACTAGGCATTCACTACATACACCCACACCTCTCTTCACTGTGGTTCATATGTGGATTCTTCGGGGGACATTACTTTAGTGAGCAGTTTCTGATAAAGGAAGGACAAAGGAAATACAAAGACCCCACTTCTATCGTGCCTCCCCTCCCTACAATGTAAACAGCTATCCCCAATGACTGTCACCCTTGGGTGGCACATTCTTCTAGGGAGAACTCTCCATAGCACAAAGCTGTTCAATACAGAGAATTCCTCATGGCCTTGAGAAGGCCACTATTACTGAAGAATCCTTTCTGGTAATCCTTTTAGTTCAAGATAAAACCCCATTAAGTAGAACTAGGGGCTGACCATCCTGTCTCTGAGAGTACAACGTAGACACATAGATGCACACAGGAACACACAAACAGGCAGGCACAAGCACTAGTGCAGACCCATACATAAATGCTTGCATGCATGGGCAACACACTCACAGGTATACAACCTGCACACGAAAAGGCACACATGTGTGCCTGGGCACACAAAACACTGGTATAATTTGGGAAGTTAAATTCTTCAACAACTTGTTTTCATTGAATAAACATTTTTACCATCAAATAATAAAGCTGTTAGGAGACTCAATTCCCTGATGTGAAGGTATTTATGATAAAAACCTGTCCACCATTAAAATAACTGAAAATGACAGAATTTTCTATTTGTACACTAAATGAACAAAGACACATTTCCAAGGCTGTAAGCTGATCACTCCATTTAAAAGAAAAATTAAATAATGAAGAAGCATACTACTGCAAACATGTCCCTGAGTTCTCTCAGAAACTCCCTCCCGGGCGAGCTGCCATTAGGGCGTCTGTCTCTGTCTCTCTCGGCCGGGGCCAGGTGCAGAGTTCAGTTTATTCCGTCACTTTTCAACAGGAGCCCAGGTCCCTTCGAATAAGGAAAAATAATGCCATAACATGTGCCAGAGAAAGCCATTAGAATCCTGGTGAACACAACTACTAATGGGGAGGTGAAAATCTTCAAAGAATTACTGCAAAGTCCAATCCCATGCCTATTCTAAACATAATCTATACTTTCCACGTCAAGAGGAGGTGATGACAACATCCTTTCGAGCATTTGTGTAATGTCTGAATAATTTCATAAAGGACTCAGTGTAATCCTTCAAATCCCAAATCTTGACACAGTGGGTTTGACCATGAGAATTCTTGTCCAGTGCTCCCAGATCAAAGGAAATACTCACACCAGGCTTCCAGCTGGAAAGGGGACAGTGAATGCAACGTAATGATGACAATGGTGATGCTAAGAGCTAACATTCACCTAGGCCTGGGCTTACTCAGTGCCAGGCACTGGACCTCGCTGGATCCTCACAGCAACCCTAGGAGGTAAGTACTAGGATGAGCCCCATTTTATAGATGAGGAAACAGGCAAACAGGGCGCAGTGACTTGCCCAGAGTCACACAGCCAGGCGTGTCTGAGGCCAGACTGGACTTCAGGGCCAGTGCTCTACGCACTATGGTGCCACCCAGCGCCCGTACAGCATACACCAAATGAAACGTGCAAATCAGAGGAGCCATAGCTTCCTGGGAAAAGCTATGCTGAACAGAAAACCAGCTGGCCGGCCATGTGACTCAGTCAACACTTGCTCCCCCCAAAGTCTGCCCCCAGACCAAGTCCTGAGGCCATCAGGATGTCAGCAGGGAGCCCTCCCCAGCATCCTGCTGTACAAGCTTCTAGAACAGACCACAGTGATAAAGCCCCTTCCCATGGCCTATACAGACCGGGGAGCAGTTGGCACCCCTGTCCTGTCCCAGTCACCCAGGACGGCAGGGTTCCAGGTCCCCAGTGACCTGCCCATGCTCTGGGGGAGGAGCTGGTGAGTATCCAGGGTAAAATCAGAAACCAGGTCTCTGGACTTCAAGGTCCAGCAATTCTTCGCACTCAACTACCATTCAAAGTCTCAGGAAAGGTTTGTTTTTTTCCCCAAGCTTTCCCTTCTTAAATGCACAGCTGCTATTTCATCATAGCCCATCACCCTAACACGACACCTGGGCTTTCTTCCATCCACCGAGCCTGAGCAACAGGCCCGCCCGCCACCCAGGTCTGACTGGGAGAGAGGAAGGGGGGGACAGAAGCCGCGCCAAGGCGTCCGTACAGACGGGCATGGTGGGCCACAGCCCTGCACGGGCCCCTGACGTCTCAGTACTTTCCCCCAGGATTTGCTTTGCCACTGGGCAATCTCCAAACAGAAACAAAAGTCAGAATCATCTTGCTCAAGAAGAACAGGTGAGTTTACTGCAGAAGTTATTAAAAAAGACAAAAGGAAGGAAATCTACAGACACAATGGAATAATCTGGAGGCCAGAGCTCAGATATAATAACTGACTCACTGCACTAACATATTAATATAAGATATAACAGCACTGCATTAGGGATTTTATCTCTGGGAAGAGGATTAAGGAGCACCAAAGGAATGAACAGAGATAGAGATGAAAAGCAACCCTGAGGGGCCTCCCCAGTGACAGCGGGGGCCAGGACCGTCACTGTCACCTCCCTGGTCCAATGTCTTAAGGCAGGCACCTTCTTTGTAGGTCTCCACAAAGGAACTTTACCCCAAAGCCTCAGACTGAAGAGGCCAAACACCACCAGAATCTATTTAACAGCTTTTCTTACACAGATCCCAGGAAATGTGCCCAAAGCACCACAGTTTCTATTGCGTGAAGACCCTCCAATGTCAAGCAGTCTCTGAGGGTAAGAATCACCTGAGACCAGCTCCAGGGGGCTCTACAGCTCCACCTGTCTAGTAAGAAGGGAAAACCCGAACCCCCAAAGATTTGGGGCCTGCCCTCAAGCAGCCGGGCACAGACAAAGACTACCACCAAGGGGTGACCCAGCCTCATCCGACATGGCAAACCCAAGAACGTTCTCCGCGGCTAGTTCTCAGCTATTCCCTTGGGGATGATTACATCTGTCCTGCTAATGAGAAACCAGAGCCTCATCCTGTGGCCCCCGAGCCCAGGGTCCAAGATGGTACCAAAAACAGGTATCGATTCCCCCTACTCTTCTTTCTACCTCATCATCACATAACCGTGCAAACAGTGACAGAAAGCACTATCCACCCAAGCGTTCGAAGTCCATGACCCAAGAGGAGTTCAGAGAAGACGGAGCAGTCAGGTGAGTGTCTGGAGCCAGCCATGGCCCTCCCTAGCTGTGCGGCCCACAGCCAGCCACTTCTCCGCTGTCAGCCTCAGTTTCCACAACTGTAAAATGGGGATGATAATAGCACCTGCCTCCCAGGTCTGCTGGGAGGAGCAAAAGAGCTAACATTTGTAAAAAGCCCTATAAATGGGGCTACTGTTGCTACAGTTATCAACAGATCTGTTCAGGGGTTAGGTCTGACCGTCAGACCAGACCCCAACCTAACCCTAAGGGTCTTTGAAGGCTGTGAATAATTTCCATAAGGGGAAAGGAGGGGAGAGGAGAGAGATGATGTCATCAGGATGGTATGTTTCTGAAAGAAAAGAGCCCAATCAAGTCCAGCACATTTGATGTTTTTGGATACACGGTCCCTGCCTCCATGGAGCTTACCATCCAGCCATGGACAGGGTGATCCCGGATAACCAAACGCCACCGTAAGCACAGCAGAGAGACGGGGCGACATGACATAGTGACGTGACAGAGTCGCAGCTAAGGGGAAAGTTTCGCAGATAAAGCAGAATTTTATTTGTGCTATAAAGCAGAAGTGTTGGCACGTCACCCACAACCGTCCAAACTAGGTTAAAAGGTAACTGGGACACAATGAGCCAAATAAAAATGTGACAGAAGCCAGACGGGCACCCCAGAGGTCCTTCTGTGTGACCCCGGGGGCTGCTGTCAAGGCCAGGCCTGAAAGGAAGAGCTGGAGAGAGGAGAAGCTGGCCACCTGAGGCACAGAGAACCAGGTCCACATGCCATGAAGGAGGCAAAGGGAGAGCTGCATGGGGGGAGGAGAGCAGAGACAGCTGGACTGTGCAGGGTCTCATGAGCCCTAGGAAAGAGGAAATACCCAAGCCTCTTTTTTTTTTTTTTACTAGGCAATGGGGTTAAGTGACTTGCCCAGGGTCACACAGCTAGTAAGTGTCAAGTGTTTGGTCTGAGGCCAGATTTGAACTCAGGTACTCCTGACTTCAGGGCCGGTGCTCTATCCACTGCCCCACCTAGTTCTGAGCAGAGGGAGGCCATGACCACAGCTCCTAAGAAGGCAGCCAAGTTTGGCAGTAGCATGGAGGACGGCTGGGAGGGCAGAGGATGGGGCAACGGCTGGCACTACTAGAATACTTTCCTACTTAACAGCCGGAAGACCTGACCAGGAGGTTGCCGCTGTGCAATGGGATCCCTGGTGGGATCGGGCCAGTGACACTGCCCCAGCCATGAGGGGGCCCCCAGTGTGAGGCGCCAGGGGACAAAGGGAGGGCAGGACCAGGAGGAAAAACCCTTTCCAGGTTGAGGAGCTGCTCGGCAATTTCCCAAACTACCGAACGAGAAGAATGCAGAGTGAAGACTGAGAAAACGGGCCGAGCAGTGCGGCAGCAGGCCAGGTGACAAAGACTAAGGGGGGAAAGTAAGCACCAGGAAATGCTGGCTACTTCCTGGGAGTCGGGCTGTCAAAGGGAGAAGATCCACAAGACATAAGCTTGGAGGACGGCAGGCTGCAGTGAAAAGTCTTTTCAAGCGCAGGAGACCTAGACACATCTGTAAGATGCAGAGGGAAGGGGGAGACCATTCATGGGACAAACCTTCCGAGGAGATGATGGGATAGATGCAAGGCTTGGCAAGGAGCGGAGTGGCCCACTGGCCACAGACTCGATCAAAGAAGGAAGACGGGGGTGCTGATGCCGAAGGGTTGGGGGCGAACAACAAGCGGGAAGGGGGAGGTGAATGTCTCTGCAAAAGAGAGCCATGTGGAATGGCTGCCGTAGAGCGTGGGAGATGGAAAAGCAAACTAAGTGCCACGCTGCAGGTCAGGGCAAAATAGAGATGAAATAACCAACACCAGTGAACCAAGCAGGCACGGAGGCTCCACAGCCCAGGGGCTGGGGTTTGGGGGAGAGGCAGGGGATTAAAAACAAGGTCTGCAGAAGTATTTTTACAAATGAACTGAGTGATCACAGGGTCAAGATGAGAACCCACGAGGATGCTAGAGCAGGAAGGACAAAGGACAGGCCAAGGCAGCAGGCTACACAGGATAATGTGTTCTTGGCTCGTGAGCTGCGTTTGCCCCTTCTCCTGGGTGAAGGAAAGATGAAAGGACTGCTGGAGGCAGCAGCTGAGGCTGATGGCAAGATTTAGAGGATGGCCATCTCCAGGAGGAGCTGAAGAGGTGGTGGATAAGCTTGGAATCCCAACGTATGAGGAGGAGGGCAGGAATGGGGCAAAGAGGGGCCGAGACCCGGAGGCAAGCAGATGTCCGTAGCAGACGTGATGCAGACAGAAGACGCTGCCTCCAAGGAGGAGAGCATTCTCAGTAGGAACTGCAAAGAAGGAGGAAGAACAAGGAAAACGTCTATTCCTTGGCCTGGTCAGGGAACAGGAGAAGGAACACACAGTGTCAGAACACGACAGCACTTTCCAAAAGAGGCAAGTTCCTCACAGCACTAGATGAGGAAAACGGTCTAAGACAAGGGGAGCTTGTTAAGGGAACAGACACAAAGGGGGAAAACTAGAACGAGTGGGAAGGACAGCAAAGGGACTCTGAATCACAGCAACACCGAGACAAGAGCCAAGGGCCACCGGAGGAAAGAAGAGGCCGTGTCCTGCATCCTGAGGGTGTGCAGTCCCTGGCCCGGCTTTCAAATCAGGCCCTTCCTAGGACGGGGCGAGGGGAGGGGGGTAGTGAGAAATCACAGGTGCTCAGGTCCCCAGAGCCAGCACACGAAGCAGCTCTCATCTACCCATCTCAAGTGGCATCAGGTCCTTGGGATCTCCAGCGATCTGCCTCGGTCTCCCTTGGTGGAGGATCTCCTGTGGATCTCCTCTACTGCCGCCAGCGTTAGAATAGGACAATCACAAGAGATGAAGAGAAAGCAGAACTACACGCCGTCTAAAAAGAGAGAATGAGCTCCAGACCGAGCAGAATCAAAATGGACAACAGGGACGATGGAAATCCAAGAGAAATAACGACTAAGGGAGGGTGCCCCAAGCTCCCTCGCTGCGTGGAAGCCACTAGGCCCGTGTGCCCTCCACCCCAGGAGCAGATGCCACAGGGGAAAGACTCGAGGGAAGGAGACGTGCCGCAGCACCAGAGGCGGGCAAGAGATGACCCAGAGACAGGAGGCGGCAAGCTCGAGGCCAGCGAGCTCGGCTCTGATCTCAGACAATCGTCTAGAACCCGTCCCCACCATGTACTTGGGGACGATCTGGCAGAGGAAATGGTGAGGTGATGACAAAAAGCCAGCCCGGCTTCAGGAGGAGCCTCATCTCATTTGGTTGGGTTTCTCTGGACAATTACCAGACTGACGGCTGAGGAAATACTGTAGAGACAAGCTGCCTCGACGGAGGCAAAGTACCCAGAATGCCACAGGTGTGGACAAAATGGAGAGCTGCAGAACTGGGGGGGAAGGTCTGGGCCTAGCTGAAGGGCCTGATCTCAACCTGAAAGTCACGAGTGGGGTGCCCCAGGGATCTCGTCTGGCAATGACCCAGAGGGCGGGATCCAGACAAAGCCCCACTCTGACAGGCCAGAACACGCTCTTCAAATCAAGGACGAAGTAACTGGAAGAGAACAAAGTCAAGGCTCCCACTGGGGTGTGTAAAAAAAAAAAAGTCAGAAGCATCAACAAGCAGCTGGGCCATCATTAAGCACCTGCACTAAGGAGCAGAAAAGGGCTTTCTTCCCAAGTGCAAGGCAGGGGAGGGGAGGGGAGGGGGCAAGGTGGCCATCCAGCAGGCAGAGAGCAGGCGCCCAAAGGGCGGCAACAGGCCTCAATCAGAGTGGTTCCTAGAGGCCTGGGCAGGAGGTCATGACCAACTGGATCCAGAGAAGAGAGGGAGACGTCACGAACAACTCCAAGATTTGGAACACGGTGACCAGAAGCTAAACATGATGGGGGGTGACACATAATTCTGCAGGAAAGGCAACTGGTTTCCAGCTTTCCTTAGCAGAATTATACTGTAACAGGCCAAGTTAAGGCAGGAAGTTTTTCTCTATTCTTCCATGGAAACAGACACACCTAACACTGTCACCTGAGCACTCTGCAAAGAAAAAAAAAATCACCCAAACAAGGTCAAAACAAACCAAACACGCAAGTAAAATAATAATTAACCGAATGACGGTAAAACCAAGTTCAAAAGGTGGAACTTAGGACTCTGGTACAGTCCTGCAGACCAGGAGCTAACAAGCCAAACTCTCTCCAGCAGATGAGCAAGGCCAGTTCTCCCTGGACTGTCCTCTGACCCAGAGACCGACTGCCTGGTACAAGTGGTTCTGGTTCCGGACGTGAATACCGAAAGGGGCTTTGCAGGGCAGAGCAAGCCCAGCTGAGAGCAGGCTCCCCTCTCATCTCCTGTGCCCTACAGCAGCCAGCTGAGATGATGGGCACCTCGGGACCTTTTACACCCTCCCCCCTGGGACTGGGAGACAGTTAAAGGGACTGAGAATAGAAAAGGCCTTACCTTTCAAACCAAAGCTTAAAAACTAAAAGAAAAACGTTCTTCTCTGTGGCTCCTTGCCCATTACAGGGTATCCTGGGAACAGCGATCTTCCAATTTACTGCATTAGCAGATTAGCAGGGGCGAAGACACAGGGACACAGGGTTCAACTATAAGAAAAAAAGTGACAATTCTAATATGTCCAGTTGTTTTGGGTTAGGATCATTGCCAGAAAACAAAATTAAGTTAAAGACTTCTGGATCAGGGATAGAAAGAAATATTATACCTTATCAAGCTGTATCTTAGGAACCAATTTCAGCAGAATAGATTTTATGTTACTAAATGTGCCAATAGACAAAGAAAGGCACGATGCCTCTTTCACCCAAACAATAATCTAGAAACAAACTATAGAGAAGTTAAAAGTGGATACAGAAAAACAGTCACTGAGATGTAAAGTAAAAAAATAAATCAATGAACAGCCAGCATCAACATACCCAAAGACATCAATGAGTTTCTGGCTACGTTCCAACATACGCTCTCACGGCAAAATCTGCAAACCACTCACTAAAAAATTAAACAAATAATTTGCCTCTAATTGCTCCAAAAATAGTTACACAATTTAGAACTTTCACAGAACTGAGAGAGGAATATTAAGGGGATAAAAGGGATGGTGTTCAGTCACGTACGACTCTCTGTAACCCCATTTGGGGTTTTCTTGGCAAAGATACTGGAGTAGTTTGCCATTTCCTTCTCCAGTTCCTTTTACAGATGAGGAAACTGAGGCAAACAGGGTGAAGTGGCGTGCCCAGGGTCACATAGCTAGTGAGGGTCTGACGCTAGATTTCAACTCAGGTCTTCCTGGCTCCAGGTCAGTCACTCTATTCATCTTGGCGCTACCTAGCTGCCCCAATAAAAGTAATAGCCAAATGCAAAGTTAAATAAATTCAAACAGTATAAACGCTGATTAAGGGCCTACCATGTGTGCTAGGCACTGTGCTAAGTTCTGGGGACACGAAGAAAAGACAGTCCCTACCCTCAAAGAGCACAGGCTATTGAGGAAAACAGCATATAAACAGCTGTGTACAAACAGGGTCTATACAGGCTAGACTGGAAACCAGAAAGGGAAGGCGCTGGCATGAAAGGGGACCAGGAAAGGCTTCCTGGAGAAGGCAAGGTTTGAGCTGGGACTTGAAGAATTCCAGGGAGGCAGGAGTGGAGATGGGAAAGGAAGAACATTTCAGGCACGTGGGATGGAGCCACCCAGAATGCCGAGAGCTGAGAGGGAATGCTTGTGAGGAACAGCCAGGAGGCCAGTGTCCTTGTCCTTGCACAGTGTCAGGGAATAAGGAGAAAAAAGACTGGAAAAAGACGCACTGAAGAGGGCGGCTTATTTAGGGTGCTGAATGCCAAAGAGAACCCTTTGGCTTTGCTCCTGAAGGGGATAGGGAGACACAGGAGATCACTGGGCAGAGGAGCGAAACGGCTGGACTTGAGCTTTAGGAAAATCACTCTAGTGGCTGAATGGACGACGGCCTGGAGCTAAGAGAGAGCGGAGACGTGCGGACCCACCCCCTCACCAGCAGCAGCCACTGCAGTGGTCCACGTGGGAGGTGATGAAGGCCTGCAGCAGGGGTGCCACTGTCAGGGAGAGAAAGGCGTGTGCGTATTCAAGAGGTGCTGCAAAGGTGAAGTCGAGGGGCCCGGGCGTGAGTGTGGAGTCAGGGATGACTCTTAGCTTGGGAGTCTGAGGGACTGGGGGGATGGTGCTGCCTTCTGCTGTAACAGGGAAGGGCAAGGGAGGGCTCAAGGGCACGATGAGGAGTTCAGTTCTGGACAGGCTGGGTCTAAGATGTCTCCAGTTTGAGATGTCCAACAGGTAGTTGGAGACACAAGTCTGAAGGTCAAGAAGGAGGACAAGGCCGGAGAAGCCATTTTCAGACTCATCAGCACAGAGACAGTAACAGCTAAGTGGCACCACAGTGCACAAAGCGCCGGGCCTGGAGTTAGGAAGACTCATCTTCCTGAGGTCAAAAGCCAGCCTCAGATGTGCAATAAGTCACTTCACTGCCTCAGTTTCCTCCTCTGCAAAATGAGCTGGGGAAGGAAATGGCAAACCTCTCCAGCATCTCTGCCAAGAAAACCCCAAATGGGGTCACGGAGAGTCAGACACAACAGAAAAGGACAGAACAGCAGAAGAGGAAAAGACCCAGCAGAGAGGCCTGTGGGACAGCCACAGTTAGTAAGCATGACCTGAGTGAAAATCCAGGCAAGGAGACGAACCCTGCATGTCAAAGAATGTCCTCAGAAGCTGTTTTAAGTATTTTTACAAGTAAATAAACATTTCCAGAAACTGTCTTTGGCATTTTTTTTTTTTACAAGCAAACAGCGTAAATCTAAAATCCTAAAGAGTTGAGCTACATCCCATCATCGTGCTCTTTCCTGACTTCACCCCTCAAATCACCTTAAGGCATAGAGAGCAAAGTGACAAAGGGGGACTGAAGTCATGAAGGTGTAAGCTCAAATCCAGCCGTAGCCCACGATTAGTTGTGTGACTCTGGACAAGTCACTTAACCTTGCTTACCTCAATTTCTTCAACTGTAAAATGGGGCAAATAATAGTGCCTACCTCCCATGGTGGTTGTGAGGCTCAAATGAGGTAAGTGCTTAGTACAAGACCTGGCACAACAGGCATTTATCTCCTTTCCTCTCTTCCTTCATCTGTCTCTCTCCTGCCTTTCCTCCTTCCTTCTTTCCCTCCTTCCTTCTACTCTCTTCAATTTAGAAAAAAGGAAAACTGAAGACCAGAGAGGTTAGGCGAGTTTCCCAAGGTTACATAGCAAGTGTTGTAGGCAGGATGCAAACCCAGATTCTGTGACTTCAAGCCTAGTGTGCCCCCTCCATTTGTCCTGCTCCCTCTCTCACGCATTCACTGCTTCTTTCAGTACCTGATAATGGGGTTCAGTTCACTCATCAAGGCTAAATGGATGCTTTACTATCTTCTTAGTAACCTGAGACAGCAAATCCAAAATGGCAGAGTCCTAATGGCCAAATCTGAGCCCAAAGAAGAGAGGTAAGGATGCACCTTCCTTCTCCCTCCTTGGCAGTGGCGGGGCCGAGGGCTGGCAAACACTGTGAGCTGGAGCATGCTGGGGAAAGACACAGATCTCCCAAAGATCCCATAATGCCTGCTTGACAAAGCAGATCATTTAAAATCAATCTTCTTCCAGAATAATATAAAGCAGATTCAAAGGAATTCAAAAGACAAGTTTCATCCAGCACAGTATGGAAAGTTAAAGGAACACCCTGACCAGATTAACAGAAGTGAAGCAAGTCCACAACTCCCTGCGGCAAAGTTTTCTCAAGTGGTAGCTTAGGGGGTGTGCACAGAAGATATCAAAGGGAGAGGCTGTGGGGTGTAGTGGATAGGGGGCTAAGCTTGGGGCAAAAAGGCCTGGCTGATGTCCCACCTTGGACATCTACTGGCTGTAAATAACCTGAAGCCCAGCCTTAAACCTAGCAAATCTGTCAAAATCCTCTGTGCCCCTGTTCAATCAAAGATGTTTCCTCATCCAAAGGATGTTTCCATCAAAGCATTCCTCCTATCCCAAGGAAATCAGAGGTTCAATCTAAAAAAAAAAAATAAGTTACCTACTTTGAATTAAGGTACAACATAATCTCGGAAGATTCACCACTGCAGCCGACACAAAAAGCAAGAGAAAAACAGACCCTAATTATGTACACTACGACTCACTATCAACACTGACCAGAGGAAAAGAAGTGGGGGAAAACAAGTTCTCATCAAGGACATAGGGACATGGCTGGAGAAGAGGCAGGCAAGCAAGTTTAGTGGCAGGAGACAGAAGAGCTACACAGACAGTCTGAGTGTTTCCCTGGTAGCCACAAAATAGTCAAGACCCAGAAAGTCTTCAGGACCTTGGGTAGCTCCTCCATGAACAGGAGGAGAAAGAAAGGACAGCAGGTGATTTACACTGGTCACAGGAACACTAACCCTTATGAGAGATCACAGAGTTTTACAAAATAGGGATGTCTCTTCTACTGTCAGAAAGGAAAAAAAAAA